TTGCAGTATGCAGTAAAATCTGATATGGCTGTGATTCAGGAAAGCACTCAGTGCTCTCTGTCAGGGAAGTAAATCACATAGCAGCAAGGGACGTTCCCTGTTCCAGATGCCCCTCAGGAAAACCAAGCACAATTTTAACGGTGCAGGTTTATGTATGCCGTGCCTTCATGAAACTTTCCCATCTCTGAGCTGTTGCTTTTTAATCCCACAAAATGTGCTGCTTCTTTCTTTTAATATGTTGCAGTATGCATTTGTTTCCACAGCTGAGCACTGAACCCCTCCCAAGAAGGCAACAGCTGTTGTGAATGTCTAATCAGATTGCCCAGCTAATTAGCAGGTTAAAATGGACTTGGGTGTTTTATTCCCTCTCCTTGTGATTTCAGTGACTGATGCTGTTAATGAACTCTTAATGAGGAAGGATGTTATATAAATGTTGGGTAAACATTTTTCGTCTTTCATTTTCCAGGCAGAGCCCACAATTAATGTATACCATGCATAGAGTCATAGCTTCATTTAACTCCTCTCAACTTGCCCACTTTACACTGAAATGAATATTTCCTCCTCATTTTACGTGTCTTGTTGTGTTAGATGTACCATGCTGATCTAAAAAAGGCAAATTCTGTGGGTGTCCAGAGTTGTTGTCAGAGTCAGACACTGCACGCTTGCAAGACATGCTTCCACGCAACGCCTTTGGTTTGAAGAAATGTGTAAAATGATCTCACTTATCCTTTCAAAAGTGGTTTCTAACCCATTTCCTTGCAAATAAGCCATTGAAAATGCAATCGTCCCATTAAAGCTGACAATCTATTACTCATTTATTTTTCCCATAGGGTCTCATTCTATTCATGGTGTGGTCACAAGTAATCAGGGAATAACTGTGCCATCTGTAAGGAATTTTTAAATTTGGTTGGAAAACATTACTTTTTATAATCATTACTAGGGATCATTTCTCAACATTAACTTTGAAAGAATAGTGATTTTTTTCAAGAGTTTCCTCTTGAAAAAGAATGTAATTTTTAAATATAATAGTTATAAATATAATAACAATATAACCCATTGTTATAAATATAATGTTTTATTTACAAAGCAATAATCAGAGGTTGAAATCTTCTCAAAGCTTTTCTCTGATAATCTCTGCCAACCAGTACTAGTGAGTAGGAAAAAGAATTTCAGAGAAAAAATCTTGCATATTTTGAAAGCACAACCAAATATTTAACAATTTGAAATGTAAATGAACTTAATATCTTCAAGACTTTGCAGCTTCTAAGGAAATGTATATTTATGGTAAATTCTCATCTTTTAGAAAATGGATATGTGTCATCAGCTATCTTTCTTGTGGAAAATTCCTGCTGTATTGTGTGTAATGTCAGCAAGCCTCAGAATACAGAGGATCATTTAGCTCCCATTTACTGGAGGGAGGAAGACTCCTTAAAGCTTCTCTCTACATAAATAGCAGGGCCCGGCAAACCAGGAATCAGTCTCCCTATAAATAAAAAATAAAAAAAAAAGACATTTGCTTAAAAACAGTGTTTCTGTAAATACTTAATATTCATTTCTCTTTTAGCTTTCTGTTTTCTGAGACTTTAGGGCTTTCATTTTCCATGCTTTGATGTGCAACTCTGAGGATATGAGTAATTTTCAAAAGGGAAGTGGAGTTTCTTCATTGACCACATGAATGCAAGAGCTGGGCTTTTATGAAAGATAATCCAATATTATGAAACTAATGATAGTGTGGCTAAGAAGACAGCTTTAGAGCATGAAAAGTACTGGAAAGGACAGGTGAAGGGAAGCTAAATAATTCCAAGCACTGGTATCACATCCCAACATTTGTGTAGTGCACCCAGAGTTCAGCTTAATGGTTCCTCTTTCTTGCAGGCCCTAAGCAAATGTTTTCCTAAATGTGTCACTTCAGGCATGATCGGCTTGGCTCAGGTGTGTTGCTAGACACAGATTTAGCTTATTTACAAAAGGCAAGCCTATCTGTCAGTTTTTATCGACTTATTCTCCTCAAAACTTTTCTTTTTATAGTCTTTTAGGTAAAGATTTGGTACTTACATATCCTGAGCTCTACTGCTAAAGTTATATTTTCTTGAAGCATGCTCTTGGTATGACAGTGCCGATTATGTGTACTAACAAAGATACACATGCTTCTGACCAGTGTGCAGGGGCCAGAGTTCTGGGTCAGAGAGGGATAGAGCTTTTCCTTTCTTTTGGAAGCGATGTCCCCACTGTTGCCATTGCAAATGTTGGAATGGTTCCTCTGTGACACAGTAGGTAAGCCTTGCCAGTCTGTTAGCCAAGTTGTTTAGTGTGGACTTTGGTTAACCTACATTTAAATTTAACTTTCTCTTGGAAAACCTAGCTGTTTGTTTTCTGTTGTTGCTACGTTTGTGGTTAATATCTTGACATCTACATTATAATAATGGATAAATAAAGAATTGTATTAATATGGATTTTTGTTTGGCACCAGCAAGCTATATTACGACTCCGCCAACAGCCGAAGCAGCCAGATGTGTGTGTACGTGCGTGGTTTTTCAACCACATAGGCTTTTGCACAATAAATCCATTAGTGCTGATTGCTTCCCTTTCTCTAAAAGGCTCTGCTTTTTCACTTCATTTTGCTATCTCTAACTGTAATTCAGCAAATGGCCTTTAGTGAAAACCTGAGAGAAGGACATGAGTGAATTATATAATTTAATACATTAGTCACAAAATAGCAGATGGATTTGTTAAGGGTGAGTCACGGCTTTATTGCCTGCGTCTTCTAGATGTAAAATGGATCTTTGTGGCTTTTTTGCCTCTAACCTTATTTATTCTTTTCTGTTCTGAATGCTAAATACCTGCTCAGTGTTATGGCTAGGAAGACACACCATATGAAAGAGGCGCCAGCTTTCTCTCTAGGTTCAGTATGTATTTTTAATTGCATCTGCTCATTTTACTACCCGTGAAACCTCACTGTTGGTTGCTTTCTTTTCTTTTTACTATTTTTTTTTTTCCAGAGCAAGTCGTAAATATAGCTTCAACACCCATTATACTGAAAGCACACGGGGTCTTGCTTGGCACTTTCCACCAGGCCTCAGGGTGCCGGGCGCGCAGGCCTCTGGTGGTGCAAGGGCAGGAAACGGGGGTGACACCTCCTGCCGAGGGCAGGCCACTCACACAGGGCGAGAGCTCTCTTGAAGGGATAATTTCAGTTTCCAAATTATTAATTGTTGTATGGTGGTGTCTCGCTTTGGGCTTGGCATGGAGCCCGCAGCTGAAAAGTCAAGTCTTTCTCACACCAGTTCTGCACGACCTTGGTGTATGGCAGCTGGAGGAAGAAGCGATTTCCCCGTGCCCCACACTGTGTTTGTGCATTTACCCAAGTGTTTGGACATTTCTCAGCACCCGAAGTTGCATGTTGTGACTAGGCGGTTGCAACACCTGCCAGAGGCCTTCCTTCCTCTCCGCATCCCTCCCTCGGCCCTGGTACCCCTCCTGCCCCCAGGACCTTCCCCAGGCCCAGGGGCTTGGTGGCACAGGGGCAGAGGAGGAGGAAGGGAGGAAGAAGACTTTTGTGCTGAGCTCCTTCTCGGGGCAGAAGTTGTTGCAGTTTCTTCTCAAGATCCCAGCCTGTTTACAGTCTCTCCAATTAAACCCTAAAGCAAGAGACAAAGTACCTTCTTTATAGGGTAGGTCCAACAGATCCTTCCAGACCAGGTCTGTGAGTCAAGCTCTTACTCATTGCTGGGGACATGCCAAGGAGTCTGTTTTTAAGGCACTTACCTTCTGGGCAAGCAGTGCTATCAGAAATAATTGTAGTGATGCAGCTCCCTCTTCACAACAAGCCAGCATTTGTTATGTCCCTGAACATAGCTGGCAGTGCCCTTTGATTAGAGGGCCAGGGCAAAATTCAGATTGTCTAAAGCTGCAGGAGCAGCCATGCAGCATGCTTTGCTTTTCCCAGATCCATCCTGCTGTTTTCTGTCCCTCTGCGTGCCTCCTGGTAAGCATCCTTGCCTCCTACGCTTTGGCCTTTCAAAATTTTAACTTCTGAAATTACTCCTCAGCTAGTGGACCTTCTGTTGTCTTCACCAGAAAAGAGTGTTTTTCTCTCAGGAAAAGAGCCCATTCAGCTCCTGGCAGGCCATTTCATACCGACCTGCCCCATGTACTGTTTGCCCACAGTTCATTTTCTTCAGTAAAGGCTAGTGATTAACTACTTTGCTGCCTCTCCCTTGCCAGCAGCACATTGCAAGCTGGAGAAGCACAAACATAGTTCATAAAAACACCACGCAAAGCTCCTCATTCCTCACAGAGTTTATGTCAGGGTACAAAAGAGCTGCCCAAGGCCTCTTGTAGTTTTGCATAAAGAAGTAAGTTATGTATTTCTAGTTTGTGTGTGCAAATGGAAAAGTATTTTCATAGTCTGCAGCTGATCACCCGCATCCTTGAAGCGCAGAGCCTGGTTTACTGAGGGGAAGAATGTCACCTCATGCTCAAATGCGCTTCATGGTCTCTGTGAGGACTTTGTAAAGAGGGATCCTATTAATGGTTAACCAAGTCGGTAACAAGACTGGGAAAATTGTTAATGATATATTTCACTGAGAGCACAGTTGGAGCAACTTGTAAAGTGATGTGTGATGCCATATGCGCACACAGGCAGGAGTGGGCAGGGTGCCACAAGCAGCGTGCGAGGCCTCCTGACCCACCACACAAGTGACACAGGCAAGGCAGCATCGCTTGGAGTGACTCCTTCCAAAAATGGTATTATATAAGGACAAAATTCACTTTGGATGTGGCAGGTTTGATTTCTTCCTTGCCTGCCCAACTCTTGTGGTGGCAGTAACAGCATGTGCTAGAGAGCCCTGGACTCTGGGACACCTGGGTCTGCATGGGGCTGTGTTGACCAGACACTTCTGTTATGCAAACACTGAATCTATTGACAACAGGCCAAGAAAAGAACTGGTTTGCACTAGGATGTGGCCCTACGGTGTGGTAATTATCTCCATTTCAGCCTCACCTCTGAAGAAGATGGCTGCTTTGGTTATGGTCACTGCATAGGTGCTGGTGGCTGCATATTAATGCCCGCTTTGTCCCCTGCCTTTGCAGCAGTAAGGCGGTCAGCTTCTCAGAGCCAGCCACAGTGTGTGCTGTGCTTGTGCTGGCCCTGTCAGTCTGTGCGTGGTAGCAGTGTTTGTGCTAATACAGGTCCCATCTTGGCAGGCTTGAGGTCTGAGAGACCGCTGAACCCCTGTGTATGCCCTCTTCTGCAGGAGGGGAAGGGCAGCCGCTGGCTCCTGTCTCGGTGCTAGTCTGCGGGCTGCTGGTGGACTGGTCCCCGGGGGCCTTCACATCTCCAGGCCGGGCAGCAGCTCACCCCAGTGCTTTGGGCTCCCAGGAGCCAGAGACGCAAGCAGGTGAGCAATGGTCATCTCCTACAGTGTCTTCTCCCTTTCCTGGAACAATTTGCTTGTTCTCCTCATACAGAAATCATGGAGTATGGCAGGCTAAAGGAAAGTAGTTCACAATTCCATTTTTTAAATACTTTCAGAGCCTTTTTTTTTCTTTTCTTTTTAATTCTGAAGGAGGATCACTTGACTTCCCAAGTACGTTTTTAAAACAACATGACTTCTGTGACCATCCTCCATCTACTGGATTTATATAAATAGCTTCAATAAAAAAATCATGAAAGGATTAGTAATAACATGCAAATCATCATCTTTAAGGGTATCCGTCTCTTCTTCTCTCTCATATTATGAACTGCAGATTTGCTGGATAGCTTCCCTTTGCATTAAGAAGACTCGGTCTTGTTGCTTGGCTTTCTGCCACTTTTCATTGCTTAACTCCTTTAGATAATTAGCAGCTCTTCTGTTTATTAAGTTTGTATCAGTTTAATAAGGCACCTCCACTGGGCGCTGTTAAATCTATCTCCCTTGAGCTGTGCTACTGCTTGGTGACTGGCTTCTCCCATCTATGCAATTGCATTTAGGGGATGTGAAATCTCAAGCAACTCATCCTGAAGCGTAGCACATGGCCAGTGCTACAACTTTGTCACAGTGCAGGGGAAAGGAGTGTCCTAACCAGAGGCTGACCTGCCAGCCCACTTCTTCCACAGGTGAGCCCAGACCTGATGGTGACTCCTGTGCAGGTGGATGACCATCCCACAGAACATGCTGGAGGCTTTGCATGGCCCCAGGGACCTGCTGGCACCACAGCAAGTTCTGCTTAGAGAGCCCAAGCCTGAGAGAGGTGTACAGACATAAGCACTTTGAGAACAACTGACATAAAAGTGCCAACCTTTTGGTAAGCTACTTGTGTGTGAAGACTATCAAAGTGACTAAAGAACATGATAGGAGTCCTGTGATGGCAGGACAGCACAGCATGGCGAATTATTTTTGCCTCGTATTATGCTCTGTTTGGTCTGTTAGTCTGATTATACTGAGTCTGTCATGCACACAGCTGCTATGGAAGTGCGTATGTAAATATTCACTTAAATAAACACATCAGCTTTGATAAACGCACCTCTGCTCAATGAACCTGGCCAGCTAGCATAAATCAGTACAGATATTAAAAACAGGGACAATAAGTGGAACTTTTTCCTCTGTGTGTGTAGCAGATGCCACTATATTTATGACCTTTGCCCTGTTAGTAATCTCTATAGCATACACTAGCCATATAGGCTAACCCCTATAGGGGTTAGCCTATATACATATAGGGCTGCACCATGGAGATGGAGAAAAAGAGGTTTTCATTAGGAGATTTATTCTTGAAAATGAGAATTTAATCCTCAAACAAAACAGAGAAGGCCTTGGAATTAATCAGCAATGTTTCAGAGGCTGGAGTGCCAAGGCCTCTATTTATCTGCCACAGAAAAGCCACTGGCTGCATGGCCAGAGCTCACCATTACAAAGTGATGGAGCAGCACTGAAATCTCTCAGCTTCCGTGGAAATTACCTGAAACGGAAAGTGCCAAATACTTTCTGAGAGTTACTTGACTCTCTGCAAGCTGAAACTCTAACACGTTGTCATTTATTTATCTTTCATTTGCATGCCAGCCACACTGCTGAATGGAACCTGGTGCTTCTTTATACTAAGGCCTCTCTGAACCACTTCAGTGTTAATATCTGGTGACGACACCTCAGTCTGAAAGAGGATGCACCTGTGTAGCGTCTGTGCAGCTCGAGTTATTCTGAATCCCTCTGAAAGGCTGGGGCCAAAACCAGCACATACTGCTCCTTTGCTGTGGGCTGTCAGGTAAATGTACTGGCAAAAGTGACCAACAAGAACTTATAAATAAAATCTGCTAAAGGGGGAAAGAGGCAAAGAGAGCAAGCAGACCTTATTACCTACATAATGTAAATGATCCCTGACATTCTTAGGTTCCCTTTAGAAAACTGAATCCTTCCACAAGAATGGATGTAAGGCTTACGATATCTGATACCACAAACAGGAAAGTTTGGAAACTGACTCTCAGGATCTGCGCTCACTGGAGCCTGGCTAACGCTTTGTGTCTTTGCTATGTTTACTTGATCTACAGTTCAAATTACAGCGCAGCAACTGACCACATAACATGATAAAAGAGAAGTTTGTCCCTACCTGACATGGCCTTTGTATCTGATGTGCCTCATATCTCTCCGGGTAAATTGGCTCAGCTTGACTTGAATAAAAAACAAAATAAATAATTTTCAAATCTTCTACCCATTCAAGATCTGTCTTCACTTACACTGGGTCTACTTCCGTTTTCCTTTCATTTTCTATGCACATTTGCAAAAAGGGTTTCTTTTTACTCACATTTCAGGGAGGTTTTTTTCATACACAAGTCTTAGATAAGCTCACTAGCAGGCAAGTGCGTAGCACAGAAAAATGCATATGATTTAACCGATGAGTCACATGCAACAAATAATGAATTATGGATGGTAGAACTCAAAAGAGAAGTCACAAGGCTTATGCAGCATTTAAATCCTGTTTACAACTCCAAATGAGGGCACTTTGATTCAGGTCCTTATATATTTGCTTACAGGCCGGATTCCCAGGAGCCAGACAGGGATGTCACCAGTTTCCCTCTGGCAGTTCCTGCTCTCTGTATCTCATTCTTCAGCCTATTAAAAAAAAAAAAAAAAAAAAAAAAAAAAAAAAAAAAAAAAAAGGAAACACAAGAGACACAGAATCAATAAATGTCCTTTAGCTGAAGTGTGAAGAGCTGCCACTGGCCATCCAATGGCCATCCAACACGCTGCATGTCACCAGAGCTGCCAGGTTTTGCTGCAGCTGCTGAAAGACAGTGCAGAGGACAAGGTGGGTGCAGGTGGGTGCTGGTGAGAGGAGAACTGAGTGCCTCCGCCAGGCCTTGCCATCTGTGGGGCCAAATGAGGCACACTGGAGGCGCTACTTTATGCTGTGTGTGTCTTGTGGTTAAGCATGCAGCTTTACTTTCCAAAAGCTTCCGTTTGGTGTTTCTCATAATCGTAACAAGTGTTAAAATCACACGTCTTAAATTCGTTTGTGGGCACGAGCAGACAAAACATGCATCACACTTTGATTAGTTGCAGAAGGGTCAGGCCCAGAAAAAAATCACCGCAGAATGAACTGTATCTCTGCTTTGTCGGCTGACCTATATCTTTATATGTATATAACAATTGGTCGAAATATGTTGTTGCTTGCACCTTCTGGCACAGTAATTTGTGTGATACTGATCTAATACAATCTTGCTCTTCAGGGTCATGCTGATTGACATCTGCTCTGCACCTAGCAGCCTCTGTCTCTCTGGCACCCGCAGCAGAGCTGGCTGCTGCAGGGACTGCATTTAAGCTGGAGCAGCTGGAGGGAAGCCAGCTGACGTCCTTGCATGGGATCTGCATCCCTGGTCACCTCCTCTGCAGATTGACCAGCAAGACAAACTCTTTACTATCCATTCAACCCTGTCCCTTCACTTCCAGCCAGCTTCACTTGTCTCTTCTTCCATTTGTTCTTCTCCTGTGGTTTGCCATTGCGGTTTGCCTTTGTTTCCCACAGCTCTTCCTTTCCTGCCCCAAGAAAACTGTAATGTTTTCTTGCCTCCTCACTCCCCCTTCTTTTTACCAGTGGATATATGTGCAGTGCAAGGCCCTTGGAGCAAAGGCTGTTAGGAGTTTCTGCACTGCCACCACACAAAGGTCCCTTTCCAATCTGAACCCTTTTTGTGTTGCTTAAACATCCCTATGTGTGGACGGCAGTGTCCCCCCTCCCACATGGAGGTAATAAATTTGTGATTTTGACTGTTGGAGACACTGTCTGAAGGCCCAGCTGAAATCAGAGCTCACAGGTGTATATATAAGAGCTGTTGGGTTATGAGCACCTTCTTCACACAGCAGCCATTTCTGTGACTACTCCCCTGAGTCTTCCCCCTCCTTTTCCCACACTGCAGCTCTCCCGCAGCTCCACGCTTCTCCATCCTATGCCTCGCTAGCCAGTGGAGCAAGGATCTCCTGGATCTCTTGCCCAAGCTGGGTGATGGCCGCAGGCACCATCTCCTCATGCTCCTGGGTCTGGTGATGCAGCAGTGGCATGGGAGGAGTAGGACAAGCCACCCTGTTTCTCACCAGCAAGCAGAGCTGTCTCAGACTGGTGGCCTCTTTCTGCTCGGGTTTATGAAGCTGTTGCCTTCCCAGCCCAGGGGCGAGGGAGTTGCCTGCCTCTTCCAGCAGCCCCGGCTGGCCCAGCCTGTTGGAGCACTGCTTTTGGGGCAACATCTCCAGGCTTCTGGGGCAAGACTCAGGCTCAGGTGAGACTCCCCAGGCTTGCCTTGGGAGCCTAATGTCATCCAGCACTGAAGCAATTTGGAGACTCTCCCAGGAATGAGCCAGTGCTGAGCAGTACAGTGAGGAAAAAAGAGGGTTCCTAATTTTCCTGGTTACGATATTCTTGCTAACGTGCTGGAGTTTGGGGGCCTTATGGCAAAGAAAAACGCTGGGAATGTCTCCATGAGTGATTGTCCCAAAGGGCTGATGCTCACATAGAAAAGGCAGAAGGACCCCTCCTTCCCTGAGACCATTCCCAGAGCATCCTTCAGTCCTTCTCAGGAGCAGTGCACAGACTTGTCGTCCCTCCCCTGTAGGCAGCTGCCTGGCTCTCAGCCACTTCCCCTCCCTCCATGCCAGGAGATGAGTTTTTTTGAGGGGCCACTGGAACCTCTGCTCCTAACCAGCCAACAACTGGGGCAGCAACCTTTTCCCCTTGTTGCCGTGAGGGAAGCAGTGTGGGCCCTAAGCCAGCCCTACACCTCTGCCATAGGGTTGATTGTTATGGTTCCCACCCTCCTGGGGCAGCCTCTCCTCCCTGAGCTGCCCATGCAGCCTGCTGCAGGCCCTGCCTCGGGTGGCAGGCTGGACGGCCATTGGGGTGTGGGCTACCACAAACACCAATGCAGAGTCAGACCTTGTGCTTCTCAGAAAGGCAGGCGCTGCCGTATGCGAGCCGTGCTTTACTAGTAGCACTTGCTTTTTTATTCACTTCACTGTCACTCAGCCTCTGACCTTCTTGGGTAGTTTAGGGAAATGAATGCTTCTGGTCAGTGCCGACCCCTTCTTATTTGGAGACAAATGTCATGCTGGAAAATGCATGGGTAATTAGCTGACAGAAAGGGAACAAAGGCAAAGCATTTCTCTGTTACACAGGATGAGTTCTTGTTGCAAATGGTGCGATTATAATGAGCTTGAGCCCAATTCATTACCTCTGTTTATAAAAATCGCACACCTTCAGAGATAATGATCTTTAAATTTTAATTCCGTTTCTAAGTGACTTGGTTTGACCTGTTTTGCCAGAAATAGTAATCCTGCTCATGAATACCATCTGCCCATTCAAACCATTCATGTACCAAATAATATATTTGAGGCTGGAGCTTACAGCTTTAGCTGTCACATGATATACAGTCCCATGCCTCTTAATCAGAGCATCAAGTGATTTATTCAATGTGCTTTTTTATTTCCTGCCGCAGCCTGCCTTCTCCGAAGTTTCCAACAGCTTGAGGCAGCCAGCACTCGCTCTCAGGGCTGGCTGCTTTCTGACGAGCAGGGCTGTTACAGACTGAAGCCCTTTCTGCTTCACCTTCCCATGTTAATTTCTGTAATGTATTTGGGAATCATCTTTTTTTGTATTTACATGACCATGACCTCAAAATGGCATCTGATAGGTGAGCCATGTGCCAATCAGTATGCCACTGGATGCTTATCCCAAGCAAGTTAAGTTATTTACTTATATATATTATTTACTTATAACTAAATGATGTTTGTTTATATGTATATTGTTCACTCATTTAGTCAAATTTTCTGCTGGAAATGTAACTAGACCTAGATACCCCAAATGTGATCCAATCATGAGATTTGAAATCTGATTTTTTTTTTATATATCACAGATGCTTCTGAGCTTTTGCAGGTCTGTTGAAAGAACAATTCAAAGACCTAGTCAAGAAACAATTGAACCAACAATAGAGGAATATTACAGACAGTATTTAAAAAAAAAAATAAATTGTGATTGAAATGTTTGTTTAATATAGGAGGGTGTGCAGTGATCTATTCCCTAAATTTCATATTGGTGGCGGTTAAGCCTTATTCACAAGATTCACCTTTTACATGCAACTGCTGCTTGATGCCAGCAGTTGCATGTAATGTATGTTTCAATATAGGTCTGTGAGCCAAACCTTGGAGGGCAATGGCTCTCAGGAAAATTGTAGCAAGGGCATAAAGGGAAGTTAGATCACTAACCTATATTCAGCCTTCTTCTAGGCATGAAGGATGGATAATGTGTAGGGAAGAGGACACCATGATGCATTTCCATGGAGACATGTCCCCCTACACATGGGAGGTCTTGGTTTGACTGATCAGATTAACAACAGGCAATGATAATTTACTGTGTTGTCTCCAAAGAGCTTTCTGGATAGATCCTGTGTACAAACAACATTTCCCCAGCGTTGATCACAACCTGGGCTGTCTTCATCATCCCTGACACTGATTTCTGTGGTAGAAGCACACAGATGGTTCCACAGACCTGGAACATCTGGTCCACAGTGGAAGAATTACACGCTTGCCCTTTCCCTCCAATCACTAATATGCACATTTCTGCCTTTCATTTCTGCATTAGAGGCCTTTCTTGTCAGACCAAAGTGGTTTGTTTGTGAAAAATTTGCTTGTAAAATCAAGGGCCTTGCCACATTAAAGATTTGTGTTTGTGGGCAGAGATCTTGAAACCATTTTCTGTATCTTAGAAGTTCTTACAGTCCTGTAGGCTAAGGAAGAATGTCATCCTGTCTTTCCTAAGGTGAACACAGACTAAAGCTACAAAGGAAAACTTTGCACTGATCTCCTGAATTACAGCCTGTGACAACAATCATGACCATCCTTCCTCCTATTTTAGTAATAAAAGTAGAAAAAATAAAAAGGAAAAAAAATGAAAGAAATGAAGCAAAAATGTACCTCTTTCACTGTAAATTAATTAAATATTAAGTTTAAAAATGCAGGTTGTTTCTTGTGTTTGTTGTAGATCAGGGTGAAGATAAGGAATGGAATTCTCTTAGCATCTCCTTTCAGAATGGGTCTCTCCCTGAAGGTGCACACTTTGATTCTGGCCATTTTATAGAAATGACAGCCTCCATATGTGACTGAGTTGCACTCTTTCTCTTACAGTCCTATGAGCAGAACTAAAAACTGTCACACTATACACAGGGTCATGGAAGTCTGTTGTGAGAGCAGTAGAGCATACAGCAGAGGATACCTGTCCCAGCCTTTGCTGACTCTTCAGCGATATTCTGCATTTATGTGTTTTAGGCAGAGTATTGCATTGGCACTGAAGAAGCAGAGCCCTCCGGGATGAGTCATTTGTGTATCCTGTGATTGTGGTTTTGTATATCAGCCTGCCAAGATAAAGATTAGCATTCTTGAAAGAAGGACTGAAAATTGTTGTATGTTGCAGCTGAATCAGCATCGGCTGTCTACATTGGTATTATCTTCTATTTTTTTGTAATCTTCCTCATCCATATCTTGGAGATTTTGTCTTAACACAAACAGACATCTAGCTTTCTCAAAGGGCCTAGTATTAACATCACTGGCCAGGACAATATTGGTGGTACAGAGGTGGCACTTTTTGTGACGTCTGAAGCATGTGTTCAGCATGCGGATGTGTTAAAG